ACACTCCGTCTCGGTCGGGGGAGGTAAAGAATAACTATACTCACTACAGTCCACAGATAACATCTGAAATCAGAGGGGACCTGTGTTATGAGTGTGGTTTATTGTGGCAGAGATTTACATTCACCTCCCCCCGCCCCCCCCGCCCCGAATCACAGAACTTCTTATGGGACCAACAATTTAGAGTTTAGAGTCTGGCTTTGAGCTACTCAGTGTCCCGGCACCTACTACAGAGATGGCAGTCCTCAACTTCCTTACGTTCGTGCTTCGCTGGAGGAGTGCAGTGCTTGCGAGCACGCGTCCTATTCCAGTGCGTTGTGCAGATGCAGCCCCACGGACGTTCATGTCGGATTACAAAGGCCCCGAGTCATTTTTGTTTCACCACAAAAAAAAAGACAGTTTGGGAGCATTGGTGGAGGGTCCAGGCACGGGTGTTGAGTTGGGTGCAGGCTCTGGATGGGTGGATTGCTTCAACGCCAGAGACGTATGGTGTCCGCGAGGGAGGGAGATATTTTTAAGTTTGGTTGGACTTTTAAATATAATAGTTCTTGACTTTTGAGAAGATGTAGCCATTCTTGAGTCTCTAGTGAAGCGGGCTTTAGCCTATAAGGAGAGTTTCCTCTGGCTGTTGTAACAGGTGACCACACGCGATGACCTCCCTCCCTCTTACCAGGACCCTGTGATGACATTGGACAGACCAGATCCCCAGGATACTCTGTCATCTCAAAGTCACTCACGGGATCACACCTGCAAAGCCCCTCTGCCAGGTCAGGACACACAGGGCCCAGGGCTCAGGGCGTGAACATCTTGGGCCGTGACTCGGTGGACTGTACATGCAGGACCAGCCTGCGGCCACGTCAGCCAAGCAGCAGGCAGCAGCCCCGAGGCCAGTGTCTTCCACAGCAGGGGGAGGGGACGGGTTGGGAAAGGTGCAAGAAGCCGGGCAGAGTGGGTAGGCATTGAGTGTTCCGGAGCTCCGCTGCCCCACAGCACTTTCTGTGAGGGTGACATGATCCTGAGCTGCAGTGTCCGGTGTACACAGGTGGCCACTGAGCACTTGAAATGTGGTCAGTGTGATTGAGGAGCTGACGTTTAATTGTACATAATTTTAATTAGTTCAAATTTATTTATTTTTTATATATTCTTTAATTGAGCCTTCCCAGAAGAAGGGAGAGGGAGAAAGAGATAGAAACATCAATGATGGGACAGAGTCATTCATCAGCTGCTCCACACTGGGGACTGAGCCTAAAACTCAGGCGTGTGCCCTGACCGGGAATTGAACTGTGATCTCCCAGTTCATAGGTCGACGGTCAACCACTGAGCCACGCCGGCCAGGCATAATTAGTTCAGATTTAAATACACAGCTCTCTTTCTAAGCCTGGGCATTTGTTACATGGGTTTGTATGTATGTAAAGCACCACAGGGGTGAACACTCAATATTCATGCACTTTTCACACTTCACAGGGTGTATATTATACCTCAATTGAAAGAAGTACTTTGCTTACTTACTTGAGAGCTCGGGTTTCTGACTTCTGCGGACAGGATACCAGACCATCTGGGATGATGGCTCAAGCGCTTCTGGGAGTAAAGCAGGCAGGATACCGTAAGCACCAGGGCACACTGACAGGGGTGCCGGGGCTGAGAATCAGGGATGTCGCCAGAGCCGCCTGCCTTGTTCCTGAGCTACCTACGAAGCACATGATGAAACACACTGCCACCAGGGAACTGGCGTCACCAAGAGAAGTCAACTCTCTACTGAGGCAGACACAGGCAATTCACTCTCAACAAAAATGGTTTAAAATAAAACACGTTTGGCTTTAAAAAGATTGAGTTCAGCCCTGACCAGTTTGGCTCAGTGGGTAGAGCGTCGGCCTGCAGACTGAAGGGTCCCGGGTTCGATTCCGGTCAGGGGCATGTACCTTGGTTGTGGGCACATCCCCAGTGGGGAGTGTGCAGGAGGCAGCTGATCGATGTTTCTCTCTCATCGATGTTTCTAACTCTCTATCCCTCTCCCCTCCTCCCTGTAAAAAATCAATAAAAAATATATTTTTTTAGAAAAAGTGAGGGTTTCCTGTTTTACATTCTCAAGGCAAAAGCTTGTGCTACCCTGGGTCTGAGGAATGGTTCTTACAAAGCGCCCCAAGTGACTGGATCGTGTGGCCAAGGAGGAGACCACAGCATTCCCACTCAGTCGTTATAACAAGTTCGATGAAAATTCTATAAAATTGTCCTCAGGGGAAACTGAGGCTCGCGTGACGGGTTGAGATTCTTGAGCTCTCTGGATTATGGGGCCTGTGCAGCATTTTGCTTTTGCCCTCTCTAATGTGTTCAATTCAATGAAAGAAGAAATACAGCCTTAAAGCTCTCATGTGAGGGGTTGAGACTCTTGAGCTCTCTGGATTATGGGGCCTGTGTAGCATTTTTGCCCTCTCTGATGTGTGCAATTCAATGAAAGAAGAAATACAGCCTTAAAGCAAAAACACAAAACCTGAACTTTACAATACGAGAAATCGTATTCTACCATAACCTGGACACGTATTTCCAAACTCCATCCCAAAGCGGCACCTGCTCACCCTCCTGCAGCATGTGAGAGCGACCTTCTCGCGTCTGGAAGGAATTGCAGTCACTGGGGGAGGGGTCTGTGAGTTGGAGGGTGCAGAGCAGCCACATGTCAGTTCTCTGGGGGCCGATTCCCCGGGGCATTGGGAAGAGGAAAGCCCAGCTGAGCAGAGGAGCTGTGGGAGGGAGAAAGGACCACGGCCTCTTGAACTCGGTTCCACTTGCCAAACGGTCATGACATGTGCCAACAAGAATGCCAAGAACGGGCGGGGTACTTTCCCCCCATTTTTCGTGTGGCTACAGGTCTGTCCTCTGAATGCACAAACACCTTTGTCTCCTGGTGGATGTTCTCTGTTGTCAGTTGTTTTTTAAAAACCGGCCTGAGCCCTGAGACACAGATTTTCCTGGGGAGCACACCGAGCCTGACGCATTGCGCGGAAACCACAAACACGCCGGGAGGAAAGACGTTGATCTCAGCCCTCAAAGCAGCAGCGATGGAACAAACAGGTGCTTCCACTGTCCCGGCGGCCGCGCGGAAGTCAGGTCCGCGCTGGACAGGATGGCTCTCGCTGGGACACCATTGTGGTTTAGAACTGTGTTGTACAATTTCTGGCCCAGCTTTTAAAGTTCAAGGCTTCCTCCCTTTGCTTTTATGTTATTTTCTCATTTTGTGAAAATACAAATGTGTGAGAGTTTGCAGGTTCATGGCAAACTGCTGTCTCCCCCCGCCCTCTTGTTCTTGGGTGATTGAGTGGGAGTGGGCTGCAGGCCTGACTAAATCCCCATTGCCCCCTTGGGACAAAACCCACAGTTCTTATGCGGTGGCCCCTGCCCCATTCTCCCATCCCTCGCCCGCCCTCCCCCCTCCCAACCCGAGTTGCCGATCCTGTGACAACCAGGAATCCAGCCGCTCCCCACAGCTGGTCCTGGGCAGCCTGGACATCCCCTCTCCCACCTGCTCCACAGCTGCTCCCCCTTCTGCTCTCAGCTGAAACCCCCACTCCTCACAGGCCTCCCTGGAGCCCACAGACTGCACCTGGTGCACAGCTGTACCCCAGCAATGAAGGGG